CTAGGGAGGAGTAACGGGGCTGGGAGGGGCTGGAGGGGAGGGCGGGGCTGGGAAGGGTCGGCTAGGGAGAGGGCGGGGAATAACAGCGGGGCTGTGAGGAGCTAGAGGGGAGGGCAGGGCTGGGCAAGGTCGGCTAGGGACAGGAGTAACGAGGCTGGGAGGAGCTAAGGGGGAGGACGAGGCTAGGCAGGGTCTGCTAGGGATAGGGAGGGAGAGTAACAGGGGACTGGGAGGAGCTAAAGGGGAGGCGCGGGGCAGGGTCGGCTAGAGAGGAGGGGTGGGGAGGAGAGGGGCTGGGAGGAGCTAGAGGGGAGGGCGGGGCTGAGGGGAACTAAAGGGGTCCACAAGGGATAGGGAGGACGTGGACAGGGAGCTGGGAGTTAAAGGAGAGGATGGGAGGGGTCTGAGGGGGAATGAGGAGCTGGGGTGGAGTATGGAGATGGAGGGACTGCTGATGAGAAATGGGAGGGGTTGGGCGGAGACTGCAGGAGAGGGAGGGGCTGGCTGAGGTCTGAATAGACGGGACAAATGAAAGGGGAGGCGGGGCCTGCAGGAAAGAGGGAGGGACTGGGGAGCTAGGCGGTAACAGGGAGGGGGACACAAGGGGTTGTGGGGACCGGGGGGCGGGGCCTAGGTCTGTCTTAGTGCACAGGACAGGGGGCTTGCACAGATGAAGCCATGTGCCTAACGCCAGGGAGCAAGCTGGGGCTCAGTCCAGGCGTAACTCCAAGACCTAACTTTTTTCCTACCCCACAATTTCTACTGGTTTGTCAGGGCTCCCTTGTCTGCGGTCCCGTCACAACTGCAGAGGTAGCCTGTTGCAGGATGGTAGCCCCTGCTTTGGGGAGCGTCCCAGTCCAGTTCTTGGAGATGGGAGGGGAGCCCCCTGCTCTGGACTGACTAGAAGTGTCCCAGTGCCCTGGGGTCTTACTTGTCTGAGACATCCTGACAGACTCTCTGCCCAACTAAGGTGGGACCCCTCCTCTATCTCCAGATCCCCCCACTTCCCAGCCTCATCTGTATGCCCTGTGTCCTGCATGAGATGGAAATAAACAGGCACAAGTGAGTCCAAATTTGTTGAAACTTAAGCAGTTAGAAACAAATTTAGGCGACAGCTTAGACTTGGGACCATCCTATGAACCAAGACAGCTCAGGAACAAACGGCTGAGCAGAGGCTGTGGGCAGCCCAGGATAAGGTACTAAGCTCTCAGGCCCAGCTAGACTCCTCATGCCCCCCTTTCCTCCGCCCTGTGACCTCCAGAGTCTACCCTCTCCAAAGCCCAGGTCACAGCCCACTTCACAGGAAGACTCGAGCATGCAGCGGCCTCAGAGACCCCGATCTCCAGTCTGCTGCACTCATTCTCAGATGACACTAAGGAGCAACGGGTCTGGAGGAGCAGCAGTTAAGCACTCACTTGATATAAGAGAAAGGTTTGCTCAGCAGCTGAGGGGGAAAGAGCTGGTATCTGCTCTGAGAAAGATTCAGGCGCCACCAAGGTGATCTGACTCACAGACCCCACAGGACAGGGGAGAACTGCCCCACAATTTCCTAGGCACAATTTCACCTTTACAGGAGAAAAGGGGCCTGGTCTTTTTCTCCATGGGCTCTGGTGGTGCAGGTCGTAGGGAACAGCACTGTTAACCCAAAGCGAATGCTTTTTTGGTGGTTTGAACACAGCAGCCCTCCCCGGGCCCCACAGGAGAATGGTGCTAAGTCTCCCTCCCAATAGAGGGGTGGCTATGATTTGGCTATGACTTGATACCAATGAGTCTTTCTTCCATGGAGCTACTGGGTGCATTTTAAGTTAGCAGTTCACTATTTAACCATTATGTCATCAGGACTGCTGCAAGAAAACCCTACGAGGCAGCTGGCTTCTGTCACAGGGGGTTGTTAGGAATCACAAGTTAACAGTAAATGGCATCAGAGGGCAAGGGGCTTGCCAGGGCCACACAAGCTGGTCCTGTCACTGCAGAGATGACTGTGTCAAGAGGGAGCTGGCTGCTGGGGTTCTCGCTTTCCATGAACACAGCCTCCACTGTGAGGAGCTTTACTCTGTTACAGGGATAAGCAGTCACAGGGGGTGAGAATGCAGAGGGGGCCAACAGAGTGGGTTGGGGCTGGCAGAGCACACGATTTGCCTTGGAAGGGAATCCCAGCCCCCTCCTGAGCTCCAGGCACCGCTTTCAGGACAAAGTGGTCTGCAGAAGGGGCTGCAGCAGGGACAAATGCTGGAGGCAGGCAGAGCCCCAGGGTGAGTCTCGTGTGTGAGCTCAGAGAGGGGGTTGGACTAATGGTGGATCACTGGACGTGTGTCTTACATGCTATCTGGCTCCTGCTATCTGACCCAGTTATGGGCAGGGAGGCCAGTAGATAGCCACTGCAGCCATCCAGGTGGAAGGTGGTTTGGTGAAGATGGACGCGCTGGCCTGTGAGCTTCTTGAGAATGGGGCCAGTGGTCTACGGTCCTTTTAAACTCCTGTCTACATCCCCATCCTAGTGCTGACACTTAACCAGTACCTGGGACGTGGTCCATATACCGCTTTAACTAGACTAGGCTGTATAAGACCATGATCCCCAAAGTGTTTACTAAATGCCAGGGGATGCTTTTATTTTAGAACATGGTCCTCACTTCCAGAATTGCCTCTTAGCAGACCTCCTGACAGGAGCAATAATGCCTTTGGCCACTAGGTGGCAGCACACAGGGTCAGGCTGCCCTGTGCCAGGGGTCCCAGCTCCACCACCAGCTCCCTGGGCTGTGCCCCTCATAGTCCTTGCAGAGGAAACCAGAGGCTTCCTTCCAGCGGAAGGCAGGGTCTTGCGATCCTTGACCCCCTAGAGTAATTATTCCCTCTGCACACTGCCCAAACTCCCAGACTTCTATAATTAGGAATATGCTTTCTGCAGGGTGATGTCCCTGGGGATGTGGAAGAGATTGCAACCATGAGGTCCTCCTTTGGCCCTGTTTCTTTTCTACACCTCCTCTATCTGTGTGATGACAACACTAAGCTCATCTACCCAGTGCCTGGCAAGTATTCAAAAATTAACAGTAAATAGACCCATAAGTGCTTGCTTTAAGAGTGATTCTAATTCCCCCTCCCCAATATGTTATTTCAATTTTGTCCAAGCAGGACCTTTTATTTATTTTTTTTTACTTTAATAATTTCTAAGAGATATTAAAGGAAATAGACTGGTTTACTCAATGTCGTCCTCACCCCACCCTCCACTCTGAAGTTGAGAATTCTTGGACGGCTGGACAGCAAGTGGTAACTGATGCAGACACATCTCTGTGAGCACTGGTGACAGGCCAGGTGCTGAGGGCTTGGTGAGTATTAGACAACACAGATCTAGTACTGACAGCGTAGATGTAGTCCTAGGACAACCTGGATGAGCTCTGGTGGCCTAGTGTAAGATGCTGCAGTGGCAACCCAAGGGCGATATGGGAATTAGCAGCCACTCCACAGGAGGGTGAGGGGCAGTTACTTAACATCATCATTGACCTCAGTTGCTCCCGCTATAGAATGGGGATAACAGAAACTACTTAAGTGTGTCTCTGTTCCCTTCCAACAGCTCTTGGCAGAAAGTAAGTGGTCTCAAAGTGGATGCGGCCCCTACGGCATACTACGTCTCAGGTCACAGAACCCCTGGAACATTGGGCTCACTAAGCCATGATCTATAGCCCCTTGACAAACTGCATCTAGCCATGTCTACCATTTGTAAAGGTTCAAATTGGGGTCTTCTTTACCCCTACCCCACCAACCCTGCAGCCTTCTTGGTCTACTGGGTGTCTGCCTTTCTCATTTAACCTAAAGGGCCCTCTATGAAGGACAGGAAAAAGTAAAAGAGCTGCTGGGATGCTGTCAGGAAACCAGTCAGTGGAACCTCAGCCATGTCTCACTTTTCCTCTCTGGGCCTTGATTTTCCTCATCTGCAAAATGGGGTTAATAATTTCATAGAGCTGTTGAGGGATATTCCATGTAAGGAATGCAGAATTATGTTAGTCCTGTAATTGGCTCAGAAACTAGGAAAAGATCCAAACTCAGTGCTGTTCAGTTCATTTCCACTCACACGGACCCGGAGGGCAGCCAAGAACTGTCCTGTAAGTTCCTAGGGCTGTAACTCTTTATGGAAGCTGACTTCGGAGCAGCTGATGGGATAGAACAGCCAGCCAGCCTTTAGTTTAGCAGCCGGCCTCTTATACACCAGGCCACCAGGGATCCTTCCAGGAGCTAGTCATTCTCACTTCTTGCCATTGGGTTGGGGGTGGGGGTGGGGAATAACTTTTATCTGACTCTCCAGAGGGTTTTCAGGAGGCTGTAAGTGGTCCAGGAGGAGACTGCTCATATTTCTCCCGCAGAGCCACAGGGGGATTCAAACCGCCAGTGGGTTATCAGCGTAAACTCTATGAATCACCAAGCTCCCAGGGCTACCAAAAGGGCAGGCTGTGCCATGAAGGTTCACTGTCTGTCATAGCGCGCTTCGCCGCTAGAGGGCACACCCGGTGCGCTGAGAAGCTGTCACGCAGCCCATCAGCCCGCCTGCTGCTCCGCTCCGCCCATCCCTCCATAGAAGCATCAAGGGTTAAGGTTGCTCCCCGGATCTCAGAAGATGTGTGTAGGTGGGTGGGTGGGGGCCGCATAAATATGGAATTCCGAAAACCATCATCTCCTTCACTTTAGCTTTAAAACCCAAAACACACTCTTGCATATAGTCCAGTCCTTTGGGGGAGCTGCGCACGCCAGGCGTCCACTCCAACCAACCTGGGGCTCTGAACCTTTCTGACAAAGTGGAGGTTCGCTGTTCCTGACAGTCTCTTCTGTAGAGAGGTCCCCCCAACCCCTCAGCTCTGCCCACATCAATGGCCTCAGAGTCGAAGGCTGTCAGAGCCGGAAGGGTTTGCGCACAGAGCACTACTACTACCTAGAGCGCTGAGGGTCCCTGGGAGTGCAGCCCGCAGCCTGGCCAGCCACCCGGGGCCACTCCCGCTGGCTTCCCCAGCCAGACTTCATCCTCACCAAAACAGTGCCCAACCCAAGATGGCTTCCCCTGGAGCTGGGTTACTTCTGTGCTAATCTGCTTTGCTTGACCTCCACTTCCCTGTCCCCATAAGAACCAGTCAGGGATTGAGGTGCGCATAGGGGAAACTGAGGCTCTGAGCCGTGAAGCCAATGGCCCTGCTTGGGTAATAAACTCAAATGGAAGTGATTTAAGGTCAAGTTCAAACCGAAGCCCCAAGATAAAGGAGAAACAAATATAGTGCACAGGCCATACTCTTGTGCTCCACGGAAACAGGGGCGAGGGTGTGCACCCTGAATCCTGAGGGCTGGAGGCTCACAAACATCACGACCCCCTTACCCCCGTGTCCTGCTAAGAGGGGCACTCCAGCGGGGTACTAACACTGGGTAAGGTACTATCAGCTCAAAGCGTGGGGTGAACCGGAGGAAGAAGGTCCCTTCCGGCCACCCTTCAGGTGGACAGTCCCCACCTGCCTCATCCAGCCCCTTTCTGAGCTTGGCCAAACCCTGGATTTTGTCAGCGAGGCCATTTCCCCACTCCCTGGCCCCTCTTGTGGGGCCTTCTGCCAGGGGCTTGTCGGGGGCTCCCAGCCACCCCCTGCCCAGCCAGGGCCCCTCTGCAAAGGCCCGCCCGCCTGGGCGGCCGTGGATCGTCCCTCCCTTCCAGGGCCCGCGCTGAGCCGAGGCTGGGGCCCGAGAGGGGGCTGTTGGGGCCGGGCCAGGTTACCTTCAGGAGGAAAGTTTTGGGTTTGGGTCCCCTCTTCTTAGGCCCATACAGCTCACGCTCCCTCTCTCTGCGGCGGAGAAGCGACAGTGGTTAGAAAGCGCCCTTTCCCCGGCCCCTCCGCGCCATCCTCCCGGCCCTCCGCTTCCCCGCTCCCCGGCCAGTGTCCCCAACTCACTTCTGCTCGAAGGCTGCGATGAGCCGCGAATCCAGGATATTCTCCTCGGGCTCCCAAGTGCTGTACCTGCCGGGACCCACGCACAAAATGAACACCGGAGCCGGAGAGGCAACGGCGCGCGCCGATCGAGTCAGCGTGCGCAGCCAAAAAATAAAACAAGGCCCCGGCGCCCCCCGCCCGCCCCTCGACCCCCGCCACACTCACTTGATCGCCCACCCCTTCCATTTCACCAGGTACTCA